GAAATCACCTCTAATCTTACTTTTGTTTCGAACTATCTCGAAAGCAGCCATTTGTAACGTTTCAGGGAGGTGTGGTTCTGGTATCTCACGATGAGCAACTTATTGAAATGGTTTGCAAAGAATTGTGGGTGGTGAAAGATCGAATGGTCGTCAACCTAGAAGGAGGCCTTGAGGAGTATCGTAAGCAGGTTTACAAACAACTACAACTGATCGCCTAACCTCCAGGCAATATTTTCCGCAGTACCTTTATATGTTCGAGGTAATTTTCTGTTGTCTACTGCTTGTATTGGAATTTCACATCAACATTTCGACAAACCTGTGATTCAGAACTACAATTGTTGCTTTCCTTCTTGTTTTGTTTATTGTTATGTGGGTCAGAGAATAAAACTGAATGCACAATTACTATGTCAAGAGGCGTGAAAGCTTATTTTATCCCAGAATTGCTATGTTGTTCTGATTTCGCCATGCGGTATAGATAACCTGTTGCCCAGCCTATGTACTCGAGAGCGCTTTCTACTTCCGCCCTCCCTGAGGGTGTCATTAAGCGGCGGGTGAAACGCGGATGGCCTTCTAATGAGGTGAAAGCTGCTCGATCTCTCGATGAGCCCAATTCCCATAGGTCGAAGTGACCGGACCTCCATATCAGCATGTAGGGTAATTATGGTCGTTGTCACCAAGTCAGTGGCTCTACCACTAGGTAACCAGGTGAAAGGGTTGAAAATCATAGTTTTTTCTCGATGATCTGTGTACGGCAGCGTTCAGACTTCGTGATGAAGCGCGTCGACGCGCTGCAATTGCGCTCCAAAGCAATAAACGTGAACGCATCCACAGACGGTCGGCGCCGATCGATTCCCGGGTAGGCACTCTGCCGCTGCGTTTGGTCTATAGCTTTGGAGCGCTGTAGCATTTGTAGCGCGTCGACGCGCGTCATCGCGAAGCCACGTTGCCTGATATGTACTACCACTGCTGAACCGTTGAATACACAAAACTGGGAGGGAAGCAACTATTGCTATTGTTCTTGATACAGTTAGAAATATCGGAGGAAATAGCCTGCGCTCGTTGAGAATGGCCTGGTAAGGAAGCTCAAAAAAAGTAAAGCTCGTTCGTTCCCTTATGTTTCGGATCAGTACCCGCGATTCGGTTGCAGTGGGAGTAATGTTGCAGACGAACTAGCAAGTATGTCGACAACTTGGGGTCATGGATTTACAGTTTATATCACCGCGACCTGTCGGGTCGCAATCAGCGGTTCCCACCTGCGGCCCCACCAGTGGCTGATTCCTTCCTACATCGATCATTGCTCGATCACCATTGGTAGAGCAAGGCAGCCGGACGCGAGCTCGTGCCGCGCTGCGCTCGCCGCCCCCGACAAATTGCAATGTTACAAACAATAAAAGGGAGCCCCTACTGGCTGATCTCGTCCATTGGGGCGGGCAACTAGTCAAGTGGCTGACGACTCGTACCCACCGGACGAGTGTGGCACGCTGAGAACAATTACTGCAAGCACTGTGCATCAAAAAACCGCACTACGTTGGGTGGGCAGGTCCCGGTGCTGTGTACGTCGCCCTCTTGTTCGTAACGGATGCTGGGGCGTGCCAGACTGTGTTCATACATTGCGGCAGCGTCCACCAGCGACCACTAGCGTTTTGAGCGTCCATCAGTGCCAGCGACTAGGAAAGTATAGATATCGATCTAGCGAACAGCAGCTTGGGGAGCTGATAGATGCTGGCGGCATCTATCAGTTCACCAAGCGTTTCGAGGGACTACGGAAGTTTAGGTATCGATCTAGCGAACGCCAGCGTCCACCAGCGTCCAGGATAGAGAGTATAGGGAAGTAGGAGGGAAGAGACAGCTCGGTTTGAGCGTCGTGGAATTGCGGCATGTGTAACCGCACCGTACAATGGTTAAAGCACAGAATTCCACAACTCATTGTACGATATTGTGTATTAGTACGGCGTGTTTGCACGTGCCGCAGTTCACGACGCCTAATCCAGCTGTCTGGTCCCTCCTACGTCCGCATGCTCTCTACTCCAGGACGCTTGTCGCTAGATCGATACCTATACTTCACTCGAGACGGTGCTGGACATACGAACGCAGCCTCAAGAAGCTGGATCTGCGCCGCGCCAAGCCGTACTCCACCAACTGTGGAAGTTGGAAAGAGACCACAGTTGGTGTAGATCGTGTTGCCGCCGCCCCAAACCCAGCCCCATGACACGGCCCAGCATCCGCTGCGAACAAGATTGTAGTACAATGCTGCTAACATCATACAATACCAGCTGTGAATATCCAGCTGACATATTGGAGACGTTGTACACGCATGTTTTGTGATGGAAGGGAATAAAATTATTTCTGAATGATGGCTTGGCGCATATATTAAGTGACATCGTCCCGCATTTTGATCGACGTTTCATCAACGTGTTATCAGCTTTACTCGTCCTATTTCACCTGCATATCATACGGGAAAAG